TTGCTCACAGCCCCCAGCTGGGCAGGCTCCCTCTCTCATGTCTCGTAACATTTTTTGAAAGAACGGGGCCTCTGATGCAGGGCCTCACAATGAGGTCCCGGGTTCCCTGTGAAATGGGAAGTTTTCAGCACCGAGGGGAGCCGAGAGCGGGAGGGGCGCCGGCTCCCTCTGACCTGTCAAAGCCCCAAGGCTGTCACTCGGGTCCTGTAGGTCAGGTTTCTCGGAAACTGCCGCACACCCAGGAGAAGTGCTCGTCGTTTTCTAACGTCAAAACCTACGAGTCAGGCCAGCAGCTGCCAGGTTCTTCCTGAAAGCGTGTCACAAGGGCAAGTTCAATCCCTAACCATCTCCTTCAACACTCACCCCTGCGCTTTAGAATCACCTCCACATCCAGGCCTGAAGATCTCTGGGTATTTGGTTTGACTGATGTTTCTTTATCTTAAAATAATAAGTGCTAGTTCCTCTGTGCTAAGCTTTCTCCCCCTGTTATCAGAGTTCAAAGTGTTACTATTGCTGTTTGGTTTTGCTTTGCTTTATTTTATTTTATATGTATGTATTTATTGCTGCAAAAGCTTTATTGTTTCATGCGGTCCGATGCATGGGAGAGGGCTCCAGGGTGGTTAAAAGGATGCCTACTGGTTCTGGGGAGAGGCTCAGGCAGAAGCCAGACACCAGGGGGTGCAGAGGGGCCCCTCAGAGGCCTCTGGGCTCCACAGGCTCCTGGTCGTGCTTGAGGGGGGGCCTTTCCAAGAGACACTCGCCCAGCCCAGCCTGGGGCCTAGCAGCCTGGAGGTGAGTCAGGTGTCGCCCATCTTCCTGATGAGTTTCACCTCCTCGCCCCGGAAGTGGTTCTCCCGGAAGTCACAGAGATAGTTTAGCTTCTTTAAGAGACGCTGCCCTTGTGCTTCTTCTCCACCAACTGGCAGAGGCCACATGGTCATGGAACAGAAGCCCAGAGAGAGGTGGGTGTGGGGCCCACAGAGGAGCTGGCCAGGCGGGCAGCAGCCTCCGCCTCGGGGAATAATTCCGACAAATTTGGGCGCTCATGGTTGGGGGAAATAAGAAGTTCAGGTCAAAAACCAGTGTTGGCTGCTCTCAGAGGCTGAGGATGGCTGAGGTCGTTCCGGAGGTGGGGATTGGGAAAGAGGTTGGAGGGAGGCCAGAGGCTGGAGGAAGGGGTGTCCCTGGTCCGTTCCGTCCAAACACTGTTGAAGCAAGAGGCAGATCCGGGACTAACCAGGGCACCGCCTGCTTTGCTTTATTTTTTTTTAATTCTTTATTGTTTAAAGTATTACATGAGTCTCCTTTTCCCCTCATTGACCTCTCCCTGGTCACTCCCATCCCCAAGCACATGCCTTCACCCCCCTAGAGTCTGTGTCCATGGGTTATGCTCATATGCATGCATACAAGTCCTTTGGCTGCTCTCTCACCCCCCTCCCCTGCCTTCCCTATGAGGTTGGATGGTCTGTTCGATGCTTTATTTTAAAAATACTTGACTTGTAGCAACTCAAGGGAATAAGGAGGAGAGAGTTTATAGTGACCGTGAGCCATGAGCTTCATCCTATATAATAAAACCCTAATATGCAAATCAACCAAATGGCAGAATGACCGGTCGCTATGATGCGCACTGACTACCAGGAGGAAGATGCTCAGTGCAGGAGCTGCCCCCTGGTGGTCAGTGCACTCCCACAGGGGGAGAGCCGCTCAGCCAGAAGCCGGGCTCATGGCTGGCAAGCACAGTGGCAGTGGCGGGAGCCTCTTCTGCCTCCACGGCAGCGCTAAGGACCCCACAGGGAGCGGGCCTAAGCCAGCAGGTGGACATCCCCCGAGGGGTCCTGGACTGTGATAGGGCACTGGCCAGGCTGAGAGGCCCTCCCCTCCTCCCTCCGCCAGTGCACAAATGTCATGCACCAGGCCTCTGGTATAAATATAACGTGTTTTGTTTTTAATTTAATTTTCCCAGCAATGTAATCATTCTATAGATGAGGAAAGTGAAGCTCAAAAATAGATGCTGGTTGTTCCAGTAGGAATAGTTTCCCCCATTTTATTAAAAACTGGGGCTCAGAGAGGTTAGCTATTTGCTTAACATCATGTGGCTTGCTAAGAGAGATAGGATTTACCCCAAGTCTGTCTGTCTCCCAGCTCTTGCTTGCTAGGCATCTTGGAGTCCCTAACAGGAGCACGTCGATGAGATGGTGCCACGATCATTCTCCTTTTATTCATTTACTTTTATTTATTTCTATTGATGTCAGAGAGGAAGGGAGAGGGTCAGAGAGAGAAACATCCATGATGAGAGAGAATCATCAATCAGCTGCCTCCTGCACGCCCCACACTGGGGATCTAACCAGCAACCCAGGCATGTGCCCTGACCAGGAATCAGACCATGACCTCCTGGTTCATAGGTCAGCACTCAACCACTGAGCCACGCCGGCCGGGCCATTCTCATTGTATAGGTGGGAAAATACGGTTTAGAGAAGTTAAGTAACTTGTCCACAAGTCTATCGGGTGAGCTACAGAAGACATGGCGACCCAGGCGGTCTGACTTTCTGAACCGCTTCATGGACTGTGTCCCCAGAAACACTCTTAAAGAATCTGCTCCAACAAAAACAAGGGAGAAAGGGCCTTAGGTGTGCAAGGTACAAAATGCTAATTTCCAAAAGAGAGAGAGGAAGAGAGAAGCAAAAGGAACTCGCTGTGACACGAGGCGTGGCCACGGAGCTTGGGCTCCTCCACGAATACGTGTACAAACCCTTCCTTGATATTCCCAGGAGGGCCCGTGCGCACCTGGTCATTTCTCCTGGCTGTTGCCTAGGAAACCTCGCAGCTTCCGAGCCAGGAGGCCAGAGCTGTGTGGGGGAGGCCGCTGTGCATGGGCGGGGTGGGCAGCCGAGGCTCAGCCAGGCCTGCGGTTTGGGGTGGGCTCCCTCGTGCGGTGTTCTGGGTCAACCATCCTCCACATTGGGGCCAGGCCACTGCCCCGCGTCGGGAGGGCACGGCGGTGCCAGTTCATAGCGGTGATGGTTCTGCGCCCATCTGCGTGCGCCCAGGCGCCTCTGCCCATCGTGAGCAATGGCGGGGCCTCTGCGGGCACCGGGACCGACCCGGGCGGTGCTGGCCTGCTGTAGGAGATCAGCAACAGCTTAGCTACCTGGGAGCCTCAGAGGAAGCAAAAGCAGGTCCCCGTGTAAACCTACACCCTGGGAATGTGCGACCCAATTTCTCTCCGGCTTTGTCTGAGCAATTAGGAGACGAGATAAGGAACTGTGAGAAGGAGCCGTGTTTTGAATGTCGGCCGCAGCTCGTTGCCAAGAATAAGACAAAGCAGAGCTCAGGCAGGAGGCCGAGCGGGAGGAGGCAGGTCCCGGTGGGGACGTGTGAGATTGATGGCCTCCAGCTCCTGTGCTTCACAACAAGGCCACCCGCCCGAGTGCCTCCTGGGGAGACGGGTGCAATATTTCCTCCCGGTGGGAGGTGAGGAGGCAGAAGGAGAGAGCGCGCCTCATTATGCAGAGGAGCCCGCGTAAGGCCGCTCTTCGCCACCGCCGGTGCCCTTCTGAGAAGGTGGGTGGTGACGGGGGCCAAGGGCCAGTGGCCCCTTCATCTCATAAAACCCGATTACCAGCAACAGGTGCACCAGCACACACACTCCCCGGAGCCATCGAGACCTGCAGAAAGCAAGCTCCCCGGGCTGCAGGTGATGTGGCTGCCGCTAATGATGGGTATTAATTATACGGGGAAGACTGCAATGCGCTCATAAAATGGGTGTCTGCACCTCATCATTTAGCATCTCGTGCCATGATGATAAAGCAATCATGACAGAATCACAAACAAGCTTCCTGTTTATTTCTTTGCCTCTCTGAGAACTAGACTTTGAAAGTCAAATCACAAAGTTTGGAGGAAGTGGGTAAGAGACGTCTCCACGCGTCTGCCGAGGGCGGAGAGCGATGACGGCAGTGGAGAGAGCAAGGAAGAGATCAGATGGATGGATGGATGGATGGATGGATGGATGGATGGGGGAAAAGGACTTATTTCCTATGATAAATACTCTCCTAAAGTTAGATCAGAATGAAGGTGGCAATTTCCCCTGGCTGGTCATAGTAGCATTTTGTTGATACGTTTAAAAATACCCAAACCGGACGATCAATGTTGATGTTTCTCTCTCGTTGGCGTTTCCCTCTATCTCTACCTCTCCCTTCCTCTCGCTCTAAAAAAATCAATACAAAATGTTTTTTTTTAAACTGGTCAAACTGCGCTGGCCAGTGTGGGCCACTCGGTTGGTTGGAACATTGTCCCATACACAGAAAGGTCACAGGTTCGATCCTGGGTCAGGGCACATACCTAGGTTTCAGGTTCGATCCCCGGTCCAGGCATGTGCTGGAGGCAATCCATCAATGTTTCTCTCTCTCTTCTCTCTCTCTCTCTCTCTCTCTCTCTCTCTCTCTCTCTCTCTCTCCCTGTCTCAAAAAGAAAAGAAAATGTCCTTGGGTGAGGATTAAAAAAGAGAGACGTATTCGATGGTATGTGACATATCTCCATAAAACTGTTACCAAATGTGCACTCCTTTTTTTAATGCCCAGACCCTTTGGAAGAACAGCGCCTTCAGAGGGCCGTGGAGGCGGGGTGCTCGCTGGGAAGGAACAGGGAGGTCGCTGTCATGCACACCCAGCACCTGTCACTCCTAGGATTGCTCAAGGTCCCGCCGTTCACAGGCCCGAGGCTGAGCAGAGCAGGCTGTGGGAGGTGGAAAGTGGGCGGGAAGGAGCTGGGAGGGTGGAAACTGCCAGCGAGAGCAGGAGGGCAGGAAGGGGTGGGTGGAGGAGCAGGAGGGCGCGTCCGTCCGGAGAGAATCCAGGGAGCGACACACCCACCAGCACCAGTGCCAAGAGCCGGCCAAGATCCTTATCATGGCAGTTTAGTAAATTGCGCCTCATAAAAATTAAGGGCAATTGGGAAGGAGGACTGGGGACCCGGGCAGCGAGGCGTTGCAAAGCCTGACTTACCTGGAGTTCCGAAACAGCCCTCTCAGGAAAGGGTCTACCCACAGTGCCCTGGCAGAAACCCCCGAGGGCCGGCCATGCAGCTGCCTCCCGCCTGCCCGCCTGCTTCCTCAGCATTTCTCAACGCCGAGCCCTGCTCAGTCAGTGTGTTGATAGGTGCCGTTTTCAAAACATTGGCAAGTCCTCACTGCTGTGACTCAACTGTCTGTTTGTTTGTGTCTAATGGAGAAGAGGAAGCAAATACTCTTTTCTATTTCAAAGAAAAAGGAATAATTTGATTATTGACTCACCCTTGATTGCTCCCGGAGTACTGTCCCTGGGACGAGGGCAGGGAGTCACCGCAGGTGTGGGTGAGTTACAGTATTGGTGCGCAGAGCCGGTCTCATCTGGTTCCTCAGGTTAGGGAGGTGAGGGTGAACACCACACTGGCAAAGGTAGGTGGTGGATGAATGTGGAAAACCCTTTACGTCAGATTCCCAGGGATTCAGAAATTGTGATCAATCTAACCTGGAGAAAATTCACCTTTCATTTATTTCTTTTAAATGGCAGGGAAATTAATAATGTACAAAAGCATTGGAGAAAAGACTGTTTGATCTACCGAAGCAAGCAATGCCTCACCTCGCTCAGGCATCAACAGCCACACGCATCTAAGTTTCAAATGGGCACCTCGTAGCCTATATTTCATAAACACGGTCATGAACTCAGCCAGTGGTAGACTGTTTTCCTTTTTTAAAATTTGGACCATCCATCTTTCATGTATAAAGTAAAATAAAAATCAGGTAGGTAGAATTCCTTGTGAATTTAAAAGCATATACTCTAGACCAGGGGTGGGCAAACTACGGCCCGAGGGCCGGATCCGGCCCGTTTGAAATGAATAAAACTAAAAAAAAAAAAGACCGTACCCTTTTATGAACTAATATAAATTCAAAGTAAACATCATTACATAAAAGGGTACGGTCTTTTTTTTTTTTTTTAGTTTTATTCATTTCAAACAGGCCAGATCCGGCCCGCGGGCTGTAGTTTGACCATGCTGTGTGTTGCTATGTCCTGAGATTAAATTTGTATTTAGCTTGAGGTCAACTCATTCTGGAACCTCGGACACTGTATCGCAAGGAACAAAGTCATTTATTCGGGAGACTCCCAAGTCCCCTGACCTTCGGTGTAGATGACTTGTGGGTTAAAAGACGGCATCGTCCTCTGGAACCCCAGCTTCTCTATTCCCTTCGAGTATTTCCACAGAACCAGGCATCAGGATGAATCGGGGTGATTGTATTTCCTGAGTAGTCAAAGGAACAGCCAGTAGGACAGAGGTTTGGCTCCGTCTTCACATCTTACATCTATACCAACAGCAAAATCCTCCACACCACTGATAAGACGTGTCACCCCTCTTCTCTATGGAGTTGCCCAGTCACCCTCTGGCCTATTCGATTCTGGAAGGTACGTGTGATCAGAAAGCTGCCCCTGAGCCATCCCACACATAAGAGTTCAAGAAGGAGAGCAGAGGTCCTCTCTCTGGCCACCCAGTGTTGCCTCGACTCACTCAGCCAGGTTCGCTGACTCATTTGTTCTATGAATACTAACCGGGTTCTCCTTCATGGGAATCGGAGAAGAAAGGCGTTGGACTCCCTTCCCCCTGGGGCCTGTGCATCTGGAGGTTCTGGGTTTGGGGAGGGAATGTGAAGCCAGATTTGAATGGAAGCAAACATCACCTAAGTCTGTCAGAAAAAAAGAAAAACAGATAGGCCTGTTTCCTATCTTTTTTATTAGGCAGTGAAGATGGGTGGAGAGGGAGAGAAACTCACTCCTCTCTGGGGTGAACTCAGAAAGCCTTTCGAGGAGATGGGAGCTGAGAGGGGTTTGCAAAGTTGTTTTCAACTCTAGATCAAGGGGAGCTGGGGCTCCAGGTGCGAGTCACATGACCAGCAAGGAAACTGACATGGGAAACTGGGGTGACGGGAAGCCAGTGCTTTGAGATTTAGGTACGAGAAGAGAAATATTAGCAGGTGAGTTTGGAAAAGAAGACTAGACCAGTGGTCGGCAAACTCATTAGTCAACAGAGCCAAATATCAACAGTACAAGGATTGAAATTTCTTTTGAGAGCCAAATTTTTTAAACTTTAACTATATAGGTAGGTACATTGTTATTAACTTAATTAGGGTACTCCTAAGGCTTAGGAAGAGCCACACTCAAAGGACCAAAGAGCCGCATGTGGCTCACGAGCCGCAGTTTGCGACCACCTGGACTAGACTATATACTCAGGGACATTTGTCAAGAATCTGTTAGGTACTGGACCCCCTACTAAGTCGTGGGGATAAAAATTTACCTAAAGATTTTCTACCCAAAGTGAGCCCACCAGCCAGCTGCATCAGCATCACCGGAGTCTGATTCCAAATGAATAATTTCAGACACCACGCCACAGCCAAAGAGTCAAAATTTGCGTTTTTAACAAAATCCCCAGGTGACTACCGTGCAGTTAAGCTTGAGAATGACTGGCATAACATATTGTCCATATTCAAGGAGCCTACATTTTATTGGAGAAGGTAGACAAGCAGACCATCAATGTAGTGCAGTGATAACTGGGGAAGGGAGACGAGAACAAGAACGGGAGATGCTGAGGCCAGCAAATCAGATCAAGGGGAAGGTCGCGGGGGCCAAAAAGGAACAGTTGTGCAGCTGTGTCACCAATGGGGCCCGAAGGTGCCACGGCACAGGCTGCCTACTGAAGACATTGACCAATAAAGAGAAGGAACCTTAACATTTCCTTTATTGCCTGATCCTCCCCCACTGCTTCTTTGGTACCAGCTTCCATCATCTCCTGCCCACACCATGCAACACCCTCTCTACTGGCTGCTGAGCCCCATCCCTTCTGCCCGTCACCCCAACCCCCACCCAGTGTATCATACTGCAGCCAGAACCTTTGCAAAACCTAAATCTGTTCTCATCATCAGATGAAAGCCTACTTTTTAATGTTTTTAATTGTTTTTTGACAAGAGAGGAAGGGAGAAAAGAAAAAGAAACGTCCATGTGAGAAACTGATCGGCTGCCTCTTGCACACCCCCTACTGGGGATCGAGCCCGCAGCCCAAGCATGTGCCCTGACCAGGAATCACACCAACAGCCTTTCGGTGCACAGGACAATGAGTGCCCAACCAGCTGAGCACGCAGGCCAGGGCTTCACGTTCTTGGATAGCTTCCCAGTGCTTCCCTCCTTACTATGGTTTGTAAAGTGCTGGGGCCTCAGCTCCGGTTGCATCTCCCTCCCCACACAAATGGACTACCCTTGCCCCCCAGCTTCGCCCTCCCCCCACCCCGGCCCCAACAGTGCTCTCTACTCCATCCAACAGGCCTCTTTCTCAGTCTCATACACTCTTCACACTTCCTCCTACAATAGGCATTTGAACGTGTTGCTGGTGTGGCTCAGAGGTTGAGTGTTGACCTATGAACCAGGAGGTCACGGTTTGATTGCCAGGTTGCGGGCTCAGTCGCCAGTGGAGGGCGTGCAGGAGGCAGCCGTTCAATGATTCTCTCTCATCATTGATGTTTCTCTCTCTCTCTCCCTCTCCCTTCCTCTCTGCAATCAATGAAAATACTTTTGAAAAATATTGGTTTTAGGTGGACAACATAGTGAACAGCTCTTGAATAAATGTTGTGACAGCAACTCTCCAGTCACTCAATTACTGTTTATTTATCTTCCCCACTGCCTTTGTGGTCTTCGGGGAAGATACAGCAGTGAAGCAGACAGGCAAAAATCTCTCTCCTTGTGGTGGACGGAGGGGAATGAAAATAAACTAAACAAGCAAATGGTATGGGACGTTAGGAAGTGATCATTGCTGTGGGGGCGGAGGGATGTGCAGCAGGGAGGAGGACCAGGGTGGGAGCAGGTTGTAAATGGACGAGTGTGGGCAGAGGAGCCTTCCCCCAACTCCTGTCAGCTCCATGCCCCGCCCCCCAACGCCCCAAGCTGCTTCTAAGCATCAGTTCTGGAACTTTCGTGTGGGTCAGAATCACACAGAGGTTGGCTAAAAGCAATTGCTGGGCTGTCTGCAGTTTCTGATGTAGTAGGTGGGGTGGGCCCTGAGAATTGCATTTCCCGCAGGTACCCAGGAGATGCTTATGCTACTGGTCCAGGAAAAATACTTTGAGAACGTCTATTCTAAATAAAATTGAAGAGACTAGTTGAAGTTGCTCTTGTTGACTGTTATAACAACCAGTACCCCGGAAGAGCGTAATAAGTAATCATCTTAGTTTCTCCTCCAGAAAAAACAATCCAATTGGATTTAATCTTCTAACCAATATCTCTTTCATCAATTCTACTGCTCTTCCCTAAAATTTCTGGGTAAAGAAAAAAAAATCCCCTTTTACATGTAGAAATTAAAACTGGGCATCATATATTCATAAGGGCCTAATAGTGAATTAAGCAGAAATAGTCTTCCGCAGCTCTTTCGAATAACCTGATAGTTTAAAAATATCCAATTTAAAAAGTAGCTGTTTAAATTAAAGCATAATATTACTTAAAAGACCTCGCTGGGCTACTGACTTCATCACACAAAATAATTTATTGTTCAGATTTTGTTTCTTTAATAAATACATAGAGAGAGGTGAATAGTCAACTTTCCTCTTGCCATTCTGCATTAGAACAATTCATTTTTAAAATGTGTGTTCTCAAACCACTTTTTGAAATAAGGGTTAAAAATTGCACAAAAGGAAAGCAAATTTCTTTTTTAACTGATAAACTAAAATGAAACAGGACTCTGACAGCAGCTAATAAAGCATGTCTTCTGACATTTGTAAATTCAGGAGATGCCACTTTAATACAGTGTGGAAGTGGGTATTGGTCTTCAGTTCATTGGTTTTAGTGCGCCCTGGGAAAGTATCTGACTTGCATTTTTGTATCTGCCAAGATGTCGGTTCTGACAGGACTCTCTTCAGGCGAAATGTAGTTGGCCTTTCCGCCGTTTTCGCTGACACAGAAAATAAACAATTTCTTAACATCATTTAGGATAATGCTATCTGAATCATAGCAAGTTCAACTCCAAATGAGGTGCGCATGTGAAG